TTACATACATAAAATTATGTAATTCTTAGCACATTTTTTACATTTTTGTGCCGCTTATATGCTATTCTTATTATACCAATCTTTTGACAAAGATTTAAATATTTTATATTAATATAAAAAAGGGAATCAAGTGAACATGAATCCTTTGGCCTCCAAGACATTTTTTCTTTTGCTTCCAACACAAGTTTTCTTCGCTCACTGATACATTACATACATAAAATTCTGTAATTCTTAGCACAATTTTTACATTTTTGTGCCGCTTATATGCTATTCTTATTATACCAATCTTTTGACAAAGATTTAAATATTTTATATTAATATAACAGAAAAACAAAATATTCACTACAAATCTTGCAGTTCATTCAACAACCGTTACATCATCTCTGTTTAAATTGGACAAACCTTATGGTTCTTCCACACAAATAAATTTAATGAAACTTCCTTTGAATTCGGAGTCATCCCGGAAATAGTACTGTAATGTATACGACCAGTCAGTCATCGTTGGAACTGAAATAATTCGACTTAAAGTTAAAGTTCATTTTCAAAATCCAGTTGTTTGATTGGCGCCACGGTTGACCAGCAAACTCCCACTTTTTTTAGCTCCCCACTTTTTATCAGCCTGACTGATTTGTTCTCAATCTGCCAATCCCAACTTATGGTTTGTAAAAACTGCGCTGTTTATTTTCGTAATTATAAATGAGTTCGTACATATGTTCATCCCATAATGTTTGTTATCATTTTGATGAAAATTTAATCATAATTGACTACAGACTCTGTTTTCATTGGAAGAACATTGAAAAAAGATTGTTTTTAGTAAAAGTTTTTGTGTAAATTTATTTTATATGGGTAATTTGCATCAGAATTTAGAGCGCTTGGATCAACAGAATTTGCTTAAGTGGTTCATTCAGGAATTGATAGTCAATTTTTAGAATTCGATCCATCCCCTACTGAGAATCCTCGTCCATTTCTTTTATAAAATCTCCAGCCAGAATTCTTTTGCGATTCGGTAATAAAGCTGTTTCATTAACATCTGACAGAATCACAAGTTTCAGGAAGTTAGTGAGTTTCATAAAATATTTGTAATTGAAGTTCATATTCCGTTGGTTACGGTACAAATACAATAAATTGTAAAACACTACAAACGTGTTGAACAGATAATTAAAAAAGCTTTGAACTCTTTGATGTTTGAACCGTTGGGAATTCAGAATTACTCAGAAAGACTCAAATACCGCAACGGACACTTTGTATTACATTTTTGTCACTTTTCAATTTGGTTTTAAAATTGTCCTCAAACTGTTTCTGCATGCGTTGTTATCAACAAGGAGATTTAATATAATGATTTTTGTTAAACCTACTTTAAATAATGGGTTTTAATTATGTGTAGATGCTGAAATATTAGATGATTCAGTGTAAACCATAAAAGCTTCAAATCCAGCTAAAAATAGGCACATTCAATTTTCCCATGTACAAGATAAATAGACAACGGGCGACCCTGTTTATGACGTCGGAACGTCAACACTAGTGATACCAAAAAACTAGACAGTTAATGCCTGTACTAATTTAATAGAAAAACAAACTTAGAGCCTGTTGTTTTTACTGACAACGTTCGCAGTAAGCTATTTCGAAAGAAACGATGGGAGTTTTCATTAACTACCGGATTTGGGATTAACAGCAGTCACTTCCTGAAGTCTTCGTTGACTTTTTTCATTTGAACCTTTTGTCTTTCTTCGTTAAGTGGAAATTATTTGTTATTTAAATGGCAATATTTTCATATGCTGCTCTAAGCTGTAGGCGACAGCTGCTGCTAAACAGGTGTCTGCAGACCCACCGTGTGTTCCCAGTTTTTTCTTACTCCAACAACAAATATGGGAAATCGGCATTTCAAAATTTGATATGAAACATGCCGCGTCGAGTAGTTGGGTCCGATGAAAGTTCTCCCACTGGGAGTTTTGATAGGACGCCAACTTTGAACTTTGAAGATACCGCAACTAGCGATAATGAAAGCTCAAGTGTATACTTACAACATTTTATTCATTTCTCGCTTTGAATTTTTCTTTATGTTTCGTGCTTTCTCTTTAATTTATTCAATTAATACACTTTTGGTTGTTCAGCATAAACCTTTTGAAACATCCTGACTAATTTGTTTCAAGTTTTGTCAAAGCGTCTTTCAAGACGATAACTCTTGTGTAAATTTTCTTTCTTGGTTTTGGCACAAAAATACTACAGTTTTTATTTTCAAATTGCGACGTTCTCCTGTAATGCATATTCTCTTCTTTATTGTTTTTCCTCATCTAACATCTACTAAAGGTGCATACTTTATATTGCTGTTATTATGAGCAATTCCGTAATATAAATTTAAACAAGTTTATATCTGCATACATATTTAAACATTTCGAAAAAATATATTTGAAAATCTCGTATTGAGCTTCCAGAGCTATGAAAATAGCAAATCACAAATAAATTTTTGATTTGTAAATTGAGACTGATGGCCAAACTTACATGGAGATAAATCATTAAATGAAATGGAAAAAAATAATTAAAAACTCAAAAATCTATTTGTCAATATATTAATTAACTAACAAAATGACCCAGATTAAAAATCATGTTTCATAATTGCGCAATAATTTCTTTACTACTAGCGTCCTCAAATTTTCAGTTTTCACTCCAGATTTATGTTCCACAGCTTAGAAAAATGTTGGAAACCCAATTGTCTGAACAATTACAAAAACACTTCTATAAAATTGATTATCTAATAATGTGTGTTAAGATTTCTTAAAATTATCTAGACAGGCGGTGAATATTAGTTTCAGACTTACAATATTCTCATTATCATTTTCTTAAACCTATTGGATTTCCCTTTAGTTTAATTTTTGCTACTTTCAATGTTTTTTTCTGCTGGCTCCTATGTCATGTTATATGTTTTTAACATTATTTACAAGCAATTAATAGACAACACATTTAAACTTTATTTTTGAACACAAATTTACATAGAACTAAGGAAATACTGTTTGAAAATATACCTTCAGTTTGCAAGATCAGAATTATGGCATGTTTACTTTACTATTTTTTTGCAGAAAAAAAGGCCAAACGGTTTAGTTTTATGAACCTATTAACAAACCTTAAATAAATATCGACAGCAAAAATATGAAAATCCCATTTTTTGGTTTCCTCTGATTTAATTTTCCGGATTTGTTCGTCACACAACACCCTTCGGCATCAATACTCCGATTAAAATTATTATTTTCCTTATTTTATCCGCTATATATACAGCCATCCAGTGAATATTATCCAAGCTCCAAAACCTAAATTCATAAAACATTTTGGTACACCTTTGATATTCCTTTGCACAACAGATATCAAAGACGAGTTTGCTTTTAGTAGCGCCAAACACAAACAAAGAAATATTTTTAAATAAATTATTCCGCTGCGATTTGAATGGTCATGTCGTAAAATAAACCGAAATAAAAACGCCGTTTGTTTACCGGACTATGAAAAACACTGAACTATAACTCTTTCTAATTGAGGTTTTTAGTGTCTTGATAGACGAATGTTCTTGTCGTCGGAATTTATAGAATTGTATAACTTTAGTCAGATTGGACATGGAATGGTCCTGCCAACTGATTAATATGTATGTATGTACTTGGAAAATGTAGGGTTTCACGGCCCAAAATAAACTCTTACAAAATATGTAAATAAATTCTCCAGAATCCTGAATTGAGCAAAGTGCATATTTTTCAGGACCAATTTGTCTGAACTTTTTTATTCAAAGGCGAAATAGATGCCTTGAAGAAAAAGTGGTAATTTCCGACAGGCTTCTTGTTTTTATGAAATAAGAGTGTTAAGAATCTGATGTCAATGACGCTCCAGTTTGCATCAAAGGTTTTTACTTACTCACGGAATAACAACAAGTAAGATTGAATTGATTTTTTATGTGAAAAAATGCGTACAATCTGAAAATCAATGCATCCAGATACTCATACACAATATTCTTTGAATAACTCCGGAGGAAAGATTCAAGAGGGGTTAAGTCGGGGCTATTAGGGGGCCATGGGAAAAGACCGGCTCCTCCATATCCGATATTAAAAATATCATTTTAATTTAAAAAAAGTGCTACCGGGCGAACGTTAGGGGTGGATAAAATAACTGTAGTTTAATAATTGAAAATTTAGTAGATGTTTTAAGAAACGACTAGTACTGATTTCTAGGATCCATTTTAGCTTGTTACGTCGAATTGCGGCGATGAAAAAATTGTAATTTTAAATAGAATTTGCACATCTTGTACAGCGCTCTCTTCAATCTGCTTAGAAAATGTTAACGGATTCTATGTTTTTACCCCGAAAAACCTCCCGATATGAGGTTTGCAAAATAATTTTTGTCGATTTTTTTATCTCAACTTTTACGCCCTGTATTTCGACAACCGTCCACTTTTGGATTAGACAAATGAGATTAAATCACCATGTTTTCCCCCCAGGAATCTGTGGTAGGATTTTGACAGACACCCTGTATATTTATGAAATGAGGGCAAAAACTCCGCCGATCTGTATAAGGGTTTTTAACTCCAGATTAATGAAAAACAAGTAATATTGAACCCATTCAGTCTTTACCACTTTTGGCAAAATTTTCAAACACACAAATTATTTAGAAGATGGTGTTAATCCATATGAGAAACCGCCTGTACATCATAAGCTTTGAAATGGAAATTACTGCCTTTCTTTATAAAATGACTGGACATTTTTTCTCTATTCTCTTCAATTGAAAACCCTCCAGATAATCTGGGAATTTCCGGCCAACGTTCGTCGTTCTATGCTGAAATCGACTGGGTTTTTCCCGCTTTACACCCCCTACCAAACTTGCATTTGGGCAAAACCTTCGTCGGTCTACTAGTGACTAGTGAATAGTGATAGTGAAGTTGTGAAGCGAAAATACTTGCACATATTTATTTTCAAACAAGGATTTCACCGTCTTATTGCTACTTAATCTACGGGCACCTAGTTTTGAGCGGCGGCCTTTGAAGGTATTCATTTCTTGGGATATCGGAAAGTCTCAGAGGATTTATTCAAGATGAACTGCGAATATTTGAAAGAAAAGGACGGACAAAACTCTATGAGATGGGATGTTCTGCCATTTCATTGGTGGAGTTGGCATCCCGATGTCTCTTTGCAGCAGGATACGGACGGTACAGCGCATCCAGTGTTAAAACGCCGGTATTTTGGCCGATATTCCCGCGCGTCGGGTAAAATTTCGCTTTAATTATAGAATCCGCTGAGATGTTTGAGAATCATAGTGAACCTTTGTCTCCGGCCTCTTCATCCGATTACGATCAGTACTCATCAACGAAACTAACGGATTTAACGAATTCACACGAAAAATATCTGCCTACAATCCACCCGAATCTGGACGACACCAAAAGTGCTTTCAATGTTTTCCGTTCCCATCGTGGCTCCCCAACTCAGCCCCCTTATGGAGCGAACATGGATAAGTATTTCATGGACTACCAGAATGGGTCTTATATTCATGACCAGCCAGTGTATCCAGCTGCACCTTATCTTCAGTATCCGGGTATGTACATTAAGCAAGAGCCTGCTGAGGAGCCTCAACTGCTAAAAACCCGCATCTTAGCGCGAAAGCGAAAAAGCGTGGATTCGGACGATGAAAATTCAATCAACGGAAAGTCAAAAAATCGACGAAAAGTCCCGCAGAGTTTCGAGGAAATCCAAAATCAGCGAATAATGGCCAACGTGAGGGAAAGACAAAGAACTCAGAGTTTGAACGAGGCCTTTGCCAGTTTGCGAAAGAGCATTCCGACGTTGCCTTCGGACAAATTGTCCAAAATCCAAACTCTAAAGCTGGCAGCCAGATACATCGATTTTTTATACCATGTTTTATCTACATCATCAACGGAAAATCCGGGCGACAGCGATGTTCTAGGAAACGTGTGCTCGTATACGGCCCACGAAAAACTCTCCAGGGCTTTTAGTATGTGGCGAATGGAAGGCGACTGGAACAATCAGTTATAAAAAAACGAACAAAAAGAAATCAGTGAGTTAAGTTAGGAATATCAACAAGGAGCCAATGAAACTGTGCAACTAATGTTAGTTTACTTTTAGCAACAATTCTGGTAAGTTGCAGTGGTTTTGGGTTTTTTTTCTCATTTCAGTCAATGTAGATAGGTAGAATGACGACAAATGGAAATAATTCATTTCAAAAGCTGTGCTTTAAGCGTTTTTTGAACCGATTTTCATCCAATCACACACTTTTCAGGCTGTGTTACTGAGGAAACCTCGCTTTTTAAATTGATAAAATTTCACGCAAACTCTGTGCAACTAATTTTGCACATTCAACTCCAGCAATTTCACGTTTGGTTGCATTATTTGAAAAAATGCCCTTTTTCTAGCTTACGTGCCATTCTCCAACTAAAAGAGAATACGTCGTATGTGATGTAATGGAAATTTCGCTGGTGATAAATGCAACCATGGAAAAACCCTTCGAGCCGTTGACAAAACGACCGCTTTTTGGATATTCCAGGCGGACGTGGCCTGGACTCTACATAAATATTATTTGCTGTTTTTATTTCTAACATTCGAATGGACTACATGGACTCTGTTTCAAAAAATCTCAGGCTTATTATAACGTGTAAATGTTTCAACTTGGTTTAACGATTTGAATAATGAAATGCTTAAAATTGTGAAAACTAGCCAAATAATTGATCAAATGCCTGTTTCGTTAATTACTTAAAATATATGAAAGAATATATAAATGAAGATATCCATTCGCTGTTAGTGTTGTAAAAACCGCAAATAACACGTGGTCGGTTAAGTTAAGTAGCCGTTTTGATAATGTGAATCAACTTTCCGGATATTCTAATGCCTTACAAATTTATTAGACATACAATTTAATTCTTTGAAGCAAGCAAGGAATTTACCAAACTGCAAATTAAATAAATTTTTCGCTTTTCCAGTCGGATTTCGGATTTTTACCCACATTGTGATTCTTATTAAAATACCATAATAGTTTGCAATATTTTAGGCCTAAAAAGGTGCATTTTCGAGAACAATTTTTACAAAAACGACCTGGGTTTTTTATCTACGCCCCATTCATTGTCCCTTTCCGATTCTTTATATTTTACTTATCTAATTTAAATATACTTATGTACACTACCTAGGTAGATAGATTACAATTTTTTAAATTCATAAACGTATTTTGCTAAATTTATTTGATAGCAGATGAAGCGGTTACACCGTACATTTGGAAATCCCCATTTTATTGAAATTTTTATTACATGCTTGGGGTTGGCTCAAGTTGGACCGTGGGTTTTTCCCGCTTTAGGGTCGGCCCTTACCTGAGCTGCACCTACGATACGATTACCGGCCGGACATTCTTCAAATATATTACGTTTCTTAAACTTTATGACAATCAAGTTTTAAATGCAAGTAAAATACATTTTTCTCGTATCTGGGAAAAGACTTATTTTTTCCTGTTTGTGTTTTTTTTTTAGAGAAATAATAAGCGTTTTCTGATAATGCAATCTATAAGCAGTGAAATATCACAGGAGAAACTTGGTTATTTAATTACAAAATTATCACTTCTTTCTCTGATCATTTTTCCTCGGGAAAGTCTCGATCTGCGACTTTACAGTACGAAAACCCCAATTTTAAGTCCTGGTATTACAACTTCAACTACTCAAATAACCGAAACAATATTAAGTTCTTTTCGCATTGAAACTCGTGTTTAACTTTTTAGTTTCATTTTACGGTTTTTCRATTATTGTTGACATTTTTCAAATGAGRAATTTTGGGTTCGAAAAATCGGCACRCCAATTTGAAAAYATTTTCACTGACGCTTCAATGTGGCCGTTTGCATGTATCTATTCAAATTCGCAATTTCCWCGCCAACCTTATAAAATGTTTGTTCGATACATCATTCAGACGTTTYTTAATTAAATACTTAACTTACATAAAAAAAAAGCTGAATGTTCTGAAACACGTGGTCGACCAATCATGGCATTGAAGGCAAAATGCGTTTTATGCCCAAGCCATTAAAATGCTGTTGCATTAAYAAATAATGGATAKTTTAAAAAATTWATTAATTAAAGCATTGAGTTAGTGTGCATTTGAAAAAAATTATATTTTCTCAGTGATTCGATAATTATCGGGCTMWRTWCTRTTGAAAATTAAACAAAAATTCCGATCACCATTTCTTCATCTGCCAAAATTYGACTAAATYATTAAAAAAGCTGYGCTTTAACCGTTTTTTGAACAGATTCATCGAATGATACCAGAAAAATTCACCAAATCTTTAGCGAAGTAAATTTTCGGTGTTTYCAGTAAAAATCAAATAAAACYTGGGCTTTTCYAATTTATACCTACATTATGTTTTTTTCACCATTCATCATATTAGTTAGCAATATTTTAGACCAAAATATATCGTTTTCGCGAACAACTTCTACGAAAAACAATTATTTTTGACCTGGTTTTTCAACTTTAATGTGTTTATTCCTACCAATAAATTTTTCAGATATTTTATATTTTATTTATAAATTTTGAAAATACACAAATCGACTGTAAATTTTTTTAAATCCTAAATATATTTTGCAAAATTGATTCGAGGGTAGATTGAGCGCACTTGGAAATCCCCATTTTATTGCGATTCTTGCTATCTGCTTGCGATTGGCTGGCTCTAATCCGACCATGGGTTTTTCCAGTTTAAGGTCGGCTTTTACCTGCACAGTACTGTACCTGCGATACGATTACCGGCCGGACGTTCTTGCAACATTCCCTTTTTTTCAGTTTATTAACATAACATCATATATTTTTTGTACCTGGAAAACCATAATTTTTTTTCTGTTTCTTTATGAGTTTGTCACAAAATAAAGAAACAATAGGTAAGCGTTTCTGATAACGCACTGTATAAGCAGATCTTTTCTTCAAGCGATTTTGCTGAAGATTTACTAATCTGAACATCGATAAGCACACATCTGCACTTTTACAGTATGAAAACCCTAATTTTCTTCTTCTAATTTGTGCTTTTTTGCAACCGAATAGGGAAACTATAAGAGTCTATAAGAGTAGACAGTGAAAACTGACAATTTTTCTGGGGACTTGAGTTGCTTAATCTGAACATCGGAAAGAGTCGATCTAAGGCCTGCGATCTGCAATTTTTTACTTGTTTTAAATTATTATCCCTATTAAGGAACCATTTGGTTGGGGAAAACTAACAGCATTTTGGGAATGCTTTTTTGAACTTTCAGTTTCAATTCTAGATTCTTCCCGAATAAATGACTAAAATTCACTACAACCTTGCTCATGACGGCTTATCTGCGGGAACAATTCAGAAACGTCTCGGTCATACATTGTTGTTCTGCAACAAAAGCTGCTTGGTTTGGCACCGAAAGGAACCTTTAATCGCTGGAAATACCAAGACCCTTTTACCTGACTTTTTGGAAATCCCAGTCCTATTTGGGTTTCTATTGATCGAATTTGAGACCCGTCAATAATTTTGTGCTCTGTTCAGCTCACACTGATCTGCCTATATATTATCAAAGTGCTTTAATTTTATTACGATGGTACTGAAATTTAATATAAATTTCTTCCTATTATGAGAAGTGTATTCTAAATCTATTTTTTTAATAAACTATGAGACCCAGAACAAGTGCAATTGAAACAAAACAATTAAAATTAACAGTTCAAATTAAATAAAAAAATGTCATGGTTTATTTATTAAATAGTAATAAGTCTTATACTGCTCTTAAGAGATCGACAAAGTTTATTTCTTTAGTTTATTTTGCGAACTTCCTAAGCTATGAGCAAAGACATAACTTTAAAAACTTGATTTATTATATTATGAATTGCAAAATCACGCGTTAAACGAGGAAAAATATTGATGACAGCTTCAATCCACCTCAATTGGAATTGAATGTACGCGTACTTTACTTGTAATAAAACACTATTCTATTACCTCATTTTATTCTTACTATTTACCACAAAATGGAAATCATTGAGGAATTCATTTCGAAACTACACAAAAAGTTCAAAACCAGAATCCTCGACCACACAATCCCCTAATCCAAGATACTTTTTCCCGCACAATCCCAAAACTCCACTTCAAATCTCCCAATAGTCTAATGGCAGACCCCCTTGGGAACACCCCTAAAGCAACCTTAAGCAAAATCGGGCTTAAAGAAAAACTAAATTCAAACACATTAAAAATAAATAAGGCCAAACCACAGAACCAGCTTCTTCCAAATTACCCAAAACTTACTTTTTTTTTCAGTGGTTCTATTTTCTTTTGGTTTACTCATTAATCTCAGGCAAATAATCCCCTTCCTCACCCAGGCTCACTCATGGGCCAGCACTAAAGAGTAAAATCCTTAACTGGCTAAGTCTAAAAAACGTTCAACTCACGAAGACTATTTTATACAATTTATAAAAGTATGCATAATTTTTTCAAACCCAAGACCACTATAAACAGAACATTATCTGTGTGCAATTGCATTTATGGGATTATTTTTTTATATATAAATGTAGCAACTAACATTATTCTTAGCGGGAGGTGAGAGATCCTCCCCTCGAGTTGTGATTTAGATATACGGACTAACTTGTATTAAAAACTATTTTAAGTAATGTCATAAGTCATTAAAAAAACTTAAATTTGATACGTTGAGAACCGTTTGTCGCAGCTGTTGGTTTATTTGTAAGTATTTTTTTCATTTTTATACTTCGTTAATGACGCATTTTTTGCCTTCGGTGCCATCTCCAGTTTCACGGACGATTTATGTACAGGATGGTTCTTTAGTTTCATGCATCAAGATAAGCGTATTAAATATTTCACAATGGAAAGGATGCTGTTAATTTATTTCTTAACAATTGTACAATTTTCAACAGAGGGTTTTGGAAACATTTTTTGCAATTTGTCTTACATTTTTAAACTTCAATATGTAAATCTTATTATTTTTCACTGAAAAGAACCTCACTGTATAATATACTTTTTAAATGAAATAAAAACTTCTATTTTAAACCATGCGTAGTTTCCGTACTGGAAAAAACATGTATATGTATGTTGTGTTTAAACAGGTACTTATATTCTATTGACAATATTTTGTGTTCAGTTTCGTGATTTTAGTGGTGAATTTTGCACACTTTTGCTTTTGTTTCCATGTTTCTTAATTCACCTACGATGTATACACAATGGTGTAATCTTAGTTAAAAGTTACATTGACATTTATTGTATTTATTTTTGTTAATAAAATATTTTTGCACTGTTGATTTTTATTTCGTAGACAATTTTATGTGGTTTGGATGATTCACAACTTTGGCAGATGATTGCGGGCATTATTTTATGATGCAAAGTTCTAATAAACGAGAAATCCTTTAAAATACAGGGTGTTATAATTACAGTATTTGCTTCACACTTTGAGTGCTTATTAATTTTAACCAAAAAGCTCTCGTTAAGTTTTCTGCTTCTTCAAGCAACACCATTAAAATTGTAATAAATCACGTCTCAAACTTGAAATAAATTTAGTAAATCCAAGACAAATTTCGTTTAGGAAATTTGCTCGAAAACGTCGATTTAAGTTGCGCATGTCTTGATGTATTAAAATTTTATACGTATCCTAAATCGGAGATATGAGGTAATCGACCATTTTTTTGATTGACATTGATAATTTTTATATAATTATTTGGAAATGGTATGCAAAGTTACGCACGCGTATGTTTTTATTTATTATAGTTTAAAATATATTTAATTACTACGGCGGAAATTCGCTTACGCTTCTGTTGTATTCACACTTGCAATTTATCTGCTGTGCGATTACAATTTATAAAAATAGTTATTATCATAACTCAAGTATTATGTACTTGAGTTACAACACCATACAACACCGCACGTAAAATTTGCATAAAAAAAGCGCAATTTAAAGCCCGAATTGACTATCCGAGAATATTTTCAAAGGAGGAGGAAATGTTACATTTTCGCCAAGTTCATATCTTAGTTTCTTTGTGTGTTTTGATATCGAATCAAAAATATTTGGAATTTGGCCGAGAGCCAAATCAATATATTATAAAAAGCTTCTTTTTTGCCGCATTTTCCGTTCCTTCATCCTTTGGGTTTCAGCTATTAATTAGATTTTTCTGTGCGCTGCCAAAAATATCAAAAGAACTTGAATAAATGTGTCTTATTTACCAATGTCTGAAATTTCGCCGCTTTCCCGACACATATTTCGAGCCTATTAATATTCATTCATTATTATTAGCTTCTTCCTTGCCATCGATTAAGTTGTTTCTGCTGTTGTCAATTAAAGTAAACGATTTTTGGCTGACGAAGGAACGAAGCAGCAAAGAAAGCAGATATTTTAGCAGCCAGTCCACCATTAAAATGTTTAATTGTAAATCTCTAATTCACGTTTTTAATTTTTAGTTTGGCATTATTCTACTCGAATCCCTTTGGTAAGTATGGTTTAATTGGGTGAAAAACAGAGCATTTGTATATTATAATACGCGTTGGCGTTGATGTTAATTCATCGCAATTAGTAGCAATGTTTTGCGTGGAAACTGGAACAGTTTATTGGCTGTATGTAATATACTTTCATTAGCGGATAAAGTTTGTTTGAGCGCAATAAAAGTCAATGGTTCGATTTATATCTTCCTTGGCTCGTCCTCTTTTACGAGCTCGAACATAGGCTCCTATTATTCCGTCTTCAGTGACTTCAAACAGCTCTTTATACAAGGCGACCGATCTAGCGCAAAATTTCTGAAGTCTCACTGAATGGATTCGATTTTTAGTTGCTACTCCAGCAGCATAATGGTTTTCTTTATTTACAGGAAGCCGAATTTTGTAGACGTTTTAATGTTGTCTGGTGGCATAAAATCTTGCACAGATCGATTTAACTCACACAACCGATATAATTAACAAAACATTAAATCGTGCTTTTATTACATGTGACTTGATGATATTTTATTGATTGATTGATTGTTAAAGCAGATGATTACTTTTATTTTTTGAAGTTGTATTTTTTATATATTTTAAATTGAACTTGTTCCAAATCAATCCTAACTAATCGCATTAGCATATTCACCATTTAGATGAAAACAGCAAATTTGCCTGTTTACATGTTAAAGCGTTTTTCTCAAACCGTTTTGTATTTTGCCTGATGTA